AGCTTAGTAATCCTTTACGATATGAGGGATAATTTATGGACCCATTTTAAATTCACTTGGTCACTCAGATACTACCTTTGGTAAAATCTTACGAACACAGAAAAAAAAAAATTGGGGGAGAGGGGTAGCCTGGAGGAAAATAAATAAAAGAATGGAAGCAAAAATTGTACTTTTTTCAATAATTCTCAAATACAGACAAATAACATGGGACAGATTTTTACTAAATCCATTTCTGGAAGCTGTAAGACACCCTTACACTTCTACAGCTTGCTTCTGAACTTTTAATGTCACAGGCCTTGACACTTGCCAGACTTACTAGGCAAATTTATCTGAAATGACTAGCTGTTATGTTTTGAAATCTTGTTCCAAAACTTGTTTTATTTTAAATAAAATTTCATATTTACTATGTGGAAATCCTCATACATATCAGTCTTGCAAAATCCACTTACTGCTTGGTTTGTCAGTAGTTCCTGAAAACAAGTTGCTCACAGCTCTCCATCGTCTTCCACCACTGTGTAAGAAGCAGGTGAGGATTTTGGCTCTTCAGCTGGTCATGACATGCAAATTTTGACAGACTGATACATGTATTCACTAACACAACACCCATGTCATGATCTGTTACCCTGAATCACCTACAGAAAACCTTCCACAGCAAAGTTTATCCAAGTGCCAGTGGGAAAACAAACTGAAAAATAATCAAGAGAGATTAAGGCCCATATGCTAGAAACAAACAGCATTTCAAATACTAAAGAAAATATAAAATAATTTTATATCAACCAAAAATGCAATGCAAGTACAGAGGATCTTGCTTCTTTGCTTACCATGCTTGGAAAGTAGTGGTATTTTGCAACTTTAGTCCTGCAATTATCCTAAACAAGAAATTTAAATAAATTTTTTAAAGGGGCATGTTTACTTTTCTGATGAAAACTACTCCTGTGATGTAAATGGTTGTTACAAATGAGACCTAGCTAATGGTTTGAATGCTATATTAAACATGCCAAGGTAGCAATATCTTTGGCAATGAGAGAAATGCAGAATCTAAGGATGAGATTACTAGATGTACTAACATCAGAAACATCTTTGTTTTGTGTGCAGTACACACATTTCATTCAAACATGTTCCATTATATTTTACACACCTCCTCCAGGACTACGAGTACAGCACTTTGTACTGCTTGATTTTTATAATTTTACTCAAAAAGTTAGTTTTGGTTCTCACTTAGTCTACAAATGAATTTAAATTTGTAAGCTAAAATAAAAAAAAAATTCTGGTTGGTGACACAAGTTAAAATGCTGAACACTTAAAAGAGATAGCCATTGGTTCATGATAAAATAGGTCAAGTTTAAACTCTTAGGTTAAAATACAGCCATAGCATAGAATTATCTATTCAAAAATTAATTTTTCAAAATATAGTTCTCTGAACATGTTATACATTAAATATAGAGGAAAATTTCTCTGGAGCTAAAATTTTCAAAGAACACGAATAATCTTCATTAAAGTAGTAAAACAAACCACGTAGTATCTGGAGACAAAAGGGGTTAGAGTTGGGGTCACCTTACTACAGAGTAGCTTTACCACCATTAAGATGCAGGTTTCCCCCTTAATCTTGAAAAATATGTTCATATTTACATACAGTATACACACAGTTGAGGCAACCGATTGTCAACACGTGACAAATGTACCTACCCACACACAAGTAAACCTCACATGGTGAGAAAAAACCCTGTCCCAGTGAACTTCAGTATCCATAAGTAGTGCAAATAAATACTTTGTCAGAAAACAATTTTTTCCTCACTATTTTGATGTTAAAACGGATAATTTTAATTATGTTAAAACTAGCAGGAGTATGTTGGAAATGTAGTATTTAAGACCAACACACTTGTGAACTACAAATACTAGATCTAATGCTTACTGGCTGCAACATGATGTTCAGCATTACAAAATGAAGTATGCTGTTAAAAAGCTTTTCCATATTCACATCAGAACGGCTGTTCGATGAAATCTGCATTTAAAATGGACAGTGACATACAAAGTATCCAAATGAAAACTAAAAGGATAATACAGCAATTTAAACTGTCATCTTGCAACATTCATTTTTACTTCATCACTTTGCTGCCTGCAGGATGAAAACCTGGCTCAACATTCAACCAAAAAGCTGCTCGCAATAAACCCCTGAAAAGGATAATCAAGGTGGAGTTAGCAATCCTACCACTTTGTATTTTCTTAAAATTATAAAGCCCAACAAAAATGAGTTGCAAAACGGCAGCATATTGTGATGTGGTAAAAATTGTATCAAGGAATAATTCATTTATCCCTACTTAAATGTATATATACATCAAAATATTGTACCCATATTCCTCACCGAAGAATTAAATGTATATGCACACATGCACATACACAGGGAAAAATCATAGTGTTCTGCTTTTTAGCCTTCTTTTATAATGCTGCAGAAATCTAAATCTAGTGCCTCATGTCAAGTACCAAAGGTTCTAAAACAAGACATAGCAGAATGAATTCAGGAAAAAGGGATTTAAGTTTACAGATTTGTCACAGGTGTCAGAAAATTTAAGTATGTTTTGTACTTTGTTTAGTACTTAACATATTATAATCAGAAAGCCAGCAGATTATTCCCTCAACCCTTATCCCAGACACTTCTAATTTTATTTCTGGCACAGTACTTTGAACCTCAGAGTATAAAGTTTCACTATGATCTTAACGCACCTTGGCATAGTTTGAGACACATCTAGAAGCACTACAGACAGACATGATACACAGCACTGGCAAAGCCTGTTGTAACAGCTGGTTTGTAGACATTAGTGATGACTCATTTTGCAAGACAGATGTTGAACAGCACTTGTCTGAAAAGTGACAAAACAAGCTCCCACAGCTGAAACATTGCACTAAAAGGGTAATTTTGAGAAGTTATAGATGTACCACATCAGCACATAGCAAAAAATATTATTTTTTTTACAGGGAGAAATTTGAACACTTTAAAAAGCCTTATATGGGGTAGAACAAACCAAAATACAATGGACAAAATAATAACAAAAGGCACATCATCAAAATGAGAACTGCAAAAATATCTTAAAAGGTAGTTAGACTAACGTTTTAACTAATTTGAATTTATGCATGTACATCTGACTTCCCTATCTGAAGTCACCCAGGTGTCTCACTTCCCTGAAATAGTTTAATAGCGTGGGACCCCACACAAAAGAATATTAAAAAAAAAAAAAAAAAAAAAAAGAAAGGTTGTAAAATGTGGTGTGATGCTCATTTAAGTATCTTAGAACTTCTGGGAGAACACTTATAATGGCAAATATAGAAAGTAGAGAACCTTGCTAATGAACAACTCTACTTGTTAAAATAAAGTAATTCTTAAAAAATTAGCTGATACTCCTGGCCTTTTTCTTCCCCAAAGATTTAAGCAAATTTAAATCCTTTTCAATTTACAGTGATGGCTCTTAAATAGAATTTCCTTTGTGATGGTGTCTATAAAATATAAACTTCGTACTTTCAGCCACGACTTACCAATTGTCTCCACTAGCAAAACTTTATAAAATAAAGACAAGTTTAACCATATACAGCTTTTGACATTTTTACGGAATATGCCTCATAGCTTAATCTCAACTTTGCCTTAGTTCTAGCTGTGCATGACTGGTGGTCCCTAAAGATTAACTTCTATTTAGAAATTGTGAGGTGTTCTTTTTTCCTAATGATTCTATTTACTCTTTAACTGAATTTCTACATCAGTCCAGATGCCATTTACTTCACTTTATGAATGTAAGGTATGAAGACTAAAGTGACTAATCAAACCACAAAAAACCCCTTCAAATATTTAAATTATTTTTAATGTAAATTGAAAAAAAGATCTACTTGAAATAAAGATTCAAAAGCAAAAAAAAAACCCCAAAAAACAAAAACCCAAACCCAACTACCATCAATGCAACACCATGTCATTGTCATGAATTTCTTAAAAGATTATCATTCAAAGATAGCCTGCTACTCATAACTGCTTATGTTTATCCTTCACAGTGACAGTGAAACCAAAGTGCCCACATAGAGATTGTAATTCTTTTCTGTGGGTTTACAATTTGTAAACTTCCAGGATATCATACATGACGTAAGCATAGAGGATGAACTTTCATCTTTTCTCTCCAGAAATGCAAAAACAGAGAGAGATGGAGCAAGAATGACAAACATTCTGCTGTGTAACCAGAAATGTGCTTCTAAGCAGTGTTCTCTAGCATATGTACCAGCCAGTGCCTATACACCAGTCATATACATTCAAGGCTTGTCTCAATGGCATGAGTTCTGAATTTTCTAGAGTAGGCCAATTCACTAAATTAAGAGTTAAAAAAACTCAATGGATTACATATACCAAGGCAATGAAGTGTGATCCTTCTCAGAAAAAAATGACTGCCAGTACCCCTTTGCGCAAACGGTGTTTCTAGAAAAGCATTTAGCATTGAAGCTTCAGTGTTTCTAGCAGACTATTGTCTCTATCCCTGAGACAGCCCCTTAAAAGTATGGTCTGTCTAGACTGCAGGATTCTTCAAATGACTCCATGATTGAATTCAGAGACACTGAGAAAGCAGCTGAGGGGCAGGGGTGTCCAACAGCCACGATACCACAGAAAGCAGCCTGAGAAATACTCTTTACCTGAATACCTTTCAATTCAGTGATCAGCACCTCACAAGAACAAAACCAACAGAAATGGAGCAGAGCTAGCTATTAGTTCCTGGGAAAGTAGTCTCCCCTCCTACTTACAAACCAAATTGCTTCAACAGCATGGTGTTGTCTAAATTTTAGTCTATATGCAGAATAACCCTGTGTCCTGGAGGGGAAGACATGTAACATTACATATGGCTACAACGCCATTAGAAGTGCATTGTAACCCACATTATTTACTTAGAATCCTCTCTCTGAGGGAAAATAACTTATTAATACGCATGTCTCAGTTGCTGAACATCAAAAGCTTCTGGGATGAGAGACTGGGGGCAGGCAAGAAAAAACTACCCTCATTTTAATGAAAAAAGTGCTGTAGGCAGCCAGGAGCAGCAATGACAATCCCCTCCCCAGAATTGATTGCACAGACTCAGAGAGGTCCAAAGTCACATTAGAATCTCTGAGGCACTCCTGGTTCTGAGAAAGAAAAGTCATGATCCAGTAGTCTGCAGTACTGTCGACCAAGAAAACAAACCCGTTTCTATTTCTTAACAAAGCCAAAGCATCATGTCATAGGGATCACATTCACCATTTCCGCCGGGGTCTCCAGTCTCACAGTGTTGAAATGGGACTGATCAGCCTACGATGGATTGCACATCACCCAAGAAGAAAGGAAGGCATGGAAAAAGGCATACAGTACATTATATACTGCTTCACAACCATGTTTACAAGGTGAGGGGAGGATGAAGGTAAGGGAGGAATTATTGCTGTTTCAGTAATACAGTATGATAGCTAAACCAAATCAAACAAGACCACAACAGTCAGTATTTTCACACTGCGGGATAATGGTTCATATTTTGCCTAAGGATAAACTTGCCTGGGGACTAAGGGGAAAGAGGGAGGGGAGGAGTCCTAAGGAAGGGAGTAAAAGTTACACCTGGGATATCAGCTGCATATTGAAACTTGGAGACCGAGACTGCTTGGTTAGGGGAGCTCCCGGGGGAAGGAGATCTTTACCTTCCCCAGCTTGGCCTAGTCGGTCCTCTTGTAGGCTGATAGTTGAAAATCGATTGGTGTTGCCAGCTGCAAGGTTAGTAACACCCTCTGTACCAGCTCCAACACTGGAGCCTGCTTGACTGCCATTCACATAGTCAAATGATTTACTGGAGGAAGCACTGGCGGTCCTGATCAGGCTCAAACTGTTAGCTTTTGGCACCGCCTGCGCAGCAGGCAGGCTAAGGTGTTTCTTAGTAGGTGTCATCTCAATTATATCTGCACCAAGGTCACTGGATTGGTGTATATACTGCTTCCAAGCTACTGAATCTCGAGGGCTCTCATTGGATTTTGCTGCAGAAGATGTTTCTTTATCCTTAGCAGAACGCCCACTTGCTGTTTTCCTTAAGCTGCCCTTCTGGGATACAGATGATAGAGGTTTGGTCCCAACTGGCTGGCTGCTGAGGGAAGCTCCTGATGAAAATCCTTCATCAGCATCATTAAGGTTCACAGATTCCTCTCTTCCATTTACACCTTCAGCATCTATTAAGAAAAAAAGAAACAACCAAAAAAAACCCCAAATCAATCAGAACTCACAGTAACCGTTCAAGTTACATGAAGACAAAGATGCGCACAGAACGTCAAAACAAATCTCATTTGCTAATCCACCTGGTTTCCATTTATTTTTTTTATTCTCAGTCAATAATCTTACTATTTAGCAGGATAATGGAATCTAACAATAAGTACTCCTGAGCTTGATTTGCATTTCCTCTACATCATTTTTATCAGTGAACTTTGACTATAAACAAGAAGAGTTTGGTTAATTAGTTTTCATTCTGTCTGCAGATACTGGCACTCATTCTGCTCCTACATGTGGTTTAAAAAAAACCAAAAACCAACCAACCAAACAAAAAATACTTTCAAACTTTTTATCCTATTTTGAGGAAAGATCTAAGCATGTTCAGGATCTCTTCCAGTCAGAGTAAATTCTGGCAAGTGCTTGGTAAGCTTCAGAATCAGGCTACTTCCTAGGCCAGCAACCACAATGCCACAACAGAGGTAAAAGGCTTATATTGTGTGTAGCTGGCACTTCAAACAATGTGACTATACCTTCTGTTGGAGATTAACCTAATTCCTAGTTCTCTCTCTTCCACAGCTCAATCCTCCCTTCATTTCCAGTAAGCCTATCTAAGTGCTTCCACCATATTTGCTTTTATCGCAGCATCTAGATTTTTTCAGAGGAAAATTCTCATATTAAGAGAAATTTAACCTCTGGAATACTTCATGTTGTAGAAAAGGCAGTGTGCTTTTGACTGGAATCTCAAAGAGAAAGAAAAAAAAAAAAAAGCCTGACAAACTTATTTCTTAAATCCTTGTTTTCAGACCTATAAAATGATTAGGGCTGCACACAAAGACTTAAAAAAAGGAAAAAAAAAAAAAAAAAAAAGAAAAAAAAAGAAAAAGAAAGTTATATTCCAGAGCTTTTTCTAAGCTCCAAGCACTCAAAAGAAGACTTACTGTTTCAGTAGAAAACTGAACAGCATTCAAATTTCAAAAATGAAAATGGAACTTGAGTTTTTGCTCCATATATCTCGTTTCAATGGAAAAAAACCATAAAGTTTAACCATGTTAGCAAAAAAGGAGACATTCAAGCTGTAAAAATTTTGCTTTTCTTCATAAAAGCTGTGGAGCCTGATTATTTGTGAGAAATCTGAAAAACCTATGGATCTGTCCCAGCTAAAGCCACTGTACTGCTCTACTGCAAGTTTGTTCAATCCAGCTTGCCGCCAAGCAAACATGCTTAAATCTCTTTTGTGGAATGGGGAAAAAAAAAGTGGTGGCAAGGATCTAGGAGATTCATTCTAAAATCTGAGTGGAAGCTCATCCTTTCATGCTGACTGTTCACTCAGCACTAAGGAACATTTTACTTTACGGCAAGCAGAATAGACACAAAGCTTTCAGTGTTGTTGCTGTCTCTGTGTAGCAGGAATATAGCCCAATGTGTAAAGCAAAAAGAAAACTTTACATGGAGGTTTTACTATTATGTTTTAATCTTACTACTACTTTTCAAAACTTTGCCTTGGAATTACTATTACGGTGTGTCAGCTTAAAAAAGGTGTTTCGCCGTCTCCAAATCGGACCATTCTCAGAACAATGCAATGTGAGATTATTCTGTAGTTTTATATAGTTCTATTTGATTCATTAGTCTCCAAGAAGCAGAAAGGTAATATAGTTTATGTTACTGCAGTTTTCCATCATTGGTAAAGCCTTCAGCCTTAGAAAAAGAAGCTTCTTAGGTTTCAAGGGCTATTATTAAAATGAAGGATGTGTTACTTGCTTTAACTTCCTGTAACCATATTTAAAATACATACACTTTCCCCTGCTCCTGCCCACCCTGTTTGGTCAAACTAGGCCTTCATCTTCTCATTCAGACATAAGTGTGTTTTCTCACATTAGACAGGGATATATTTTATTCACAATCCACCACATCTCCATTCCCTCCGCAACCTTCCCACGCATAATCAAAGATACTAATAAAAACGTGACATAACTGGAACATACTGAAAGCAAGAGCACTTTTTCAATAAACCAACATTTATGTTTCTTTATATAATCATGCAAAGCTGGATGAAAGCATGTTTGGTTACAAGCAGCAAAAGCAGCAGCTGAAGTCCCCTCTCAAGCTCTTCTTATTCAAACGAAAGATGTGTAACTTTTGAGAAAGTATCTCCAGACATTACTGTTAAGCTTTTTATTATTAAAAGAACATCAGTCATCTTCAAAGTATACATTAAAACATTGCTGAGTAACAGGATGCTAAACCAGACATTCCTATTCAGGGACAATGAAGCAGAAGAGTCACATTGGAAAGCTGGCATTTTATCCACAGAATTTAAAGATAAGACTGAGAGGGGTTGCTGCAAGCTTTTGGATGCTGCAACTATACAGAGGCCCAAGCAGCTCAGCAGTGCTCAAAAATGAAGAAGATAGAGAAGACAACATGCAAGAGAATTTCTGTCTACTCAGATCCATACACCTATAGAAGTTCTCAATGGGATTTAAGTAATTCAGCAAACATATTATTTTCCGTGCAAGAGAGTTTCTGTCTACTCAGATCCATACACCTATAGTTCTCAATGGCATTTAAGTAATTCAGCAAACATATTATTTTCCCAATAAATATATGTTATTTTTCCTCTAAAAACTGCCCTCAGAGACAATCAAAAATGTTTGAGTCCTTACATACTCTGTTTGGGTGGAAAAACAGGATGAAGTCATAAAGTTTTCTTTTCCCCCAGTAGTCCAATAAGACAATTAAAAACGAAAACAAAACTAAAAGCCTACTCCTCCCAAGCACTCTTCTACTGTAAAGCCAGAAGAGAAAGAGACAGTGCAACTTGACAGAAATCATATCAATTGCACTACAGTGTGTATTCAGGACTCCTACTGTTCCTTATCAGAAAAAGTCTGTCCCCAAATAATTAACTATTTATGCCTGTACATAATTAATCCGGTAGATGTAGATACAGCATTCTCCACTGACCCAAAACAGTGCACATAACCACAGCTTCTACCACCCAGAAGCAGAATATCTTGTAAGGCACTATTGAGTCATTCTTGAAATCTCCTGCCTTTTTCTACTTACTGGGTCAAAACATTGATCTACAGAAAGTGTTTTATACAGCTTTCTAAAGTGACTTCTATTCTGTTTATCCTTCCCATACCTGAAGGTTGAAAATTCACTAGAAATTATGAGTCTCTTGTTATATTGTTTGATATCAAAATTTTATTTATGAGAGGAAATTTGCTAGCTGAAACTTTCTGGGAAATCAGCATCAGTAAAATAATAGACCACTTACATATATACACAATTCTAAACTGATTATAATCAAGTTAAACTCCATTCCTCGGCCTTCTTCCAGATGCTATCAACTGGCAGAATTCAGTTAGCCCAAGCAGAAGTTACAGAAGTAAAGGGTATTCAACCCACTTCTGTTGAAGTAAAGCATATGGAATGATGCCTTACCCAAGGACATGCCAAATTATATAGAGGTTTTAAAACAAATTAAGACTAGGAGGCCACATCTTTATCAACTTCTTTCCCACTTCCTGTGGGAAAGAGATGTATCTACGTCTGTATCTACATCTCCCAGAAGGTTCTCTGCAGCTGAGTACTTCTCCATATCCTTCAGGTCATGCACATGCAAAGTTTAGTAAACTGGAGTAAGACCAAGTGAACAAGTGAATTCAGAAGACAGGACTCATTTACTGAGCATGCTCAAATTCACTATGCACCAAGGAGTAGATTATAAACCTGCACTAAACATTTTTATGCAATTATCTTCAATAGTAACATGATGTCTTAATTATTGTTTGATAGCAACTCTGATTAAAGATTCTGTGATAACACTACATTAAATCTCCAATTTCTCCAAATTATTGTTTCCAGAAGAACAAATCTAAAACCTATGTAGCTCATAACCAAATGCGCAAATAAATCTCATTTATTATCAACTTCCACGCATAGAGGCTGGAAATACAAAAGGAATGTTCAGATAGAAAAGATGAATTAAGATAGAAGAACACTTGAAAATATTTTTAGCTAACTTTACAATAAATTAGTTCTTAACTCTGAGGAGAAATCACAACTCAAATTCGGTACTCAAACCCACATATTTTACAGAGTAAAGATGAGAAAACTAATAGATGAACTAATAGATGAACATAAACTTCTACTAGCTACTTTATCTGCTATTCTTGTCTGTAGAGCAGACATATGAAGTCCTACAGCATTTGTGTGGACAGCATGACTGAGAAAGAAAGCAGTAATCGTTTCTAAGGTTTTTAGAAACGTGACAATGATTTCTTGAAAACACAAGTGCTTTTTTGGTACTTGTCTTTAAAGCAGCCAGCTCATCCATTTAAACAAGTTGCACATGTATGAATTTTCAGTTACAGGATGACTGGCAAATAAAAACATCAGCAGTTGTATATCTGTCTTAGATAGGCTTGACTTTCAACAGGAACAGGAAACTTCGTTCTTGGAAATTTAAAAACTGCAGATTAACAAGACACTATTGTAACTAAGTTTTAGCCAAATCCATTCATACTCTATACTGTCTATTTTCAGGACTAGATTCATATTCAACTGGTGCATTTTTTCCTTCTGAATATTAGATTAAACATGCTCAGTAATAGAAAGTTTCCAAGCAATCTCAAAGCTCTTGCCTATTACCCCTGACTTTTTTTTGCTTTTTTTTGCTTTTTTTTTTTGCCATGCCAAGCAGTCTTTCACCACACAGATGCAAGCCCCAGGCCAGCCCACGTGATAATAAAAGGTAGTACCTGACCTGGTGTTAGGTATATAGGGGATGAGTGTATTGCAAAGAGAAGCTAATACACCCTGGGATAGCGGAAACAGACACTAGAATGGAAAGAAGTTCTGCTTGGGGATAGGGAGCCAGGATCCTCCTCCAGCAACTGCCTCACTGACTTCTGCCTCCTCATCTCTGTCCTACCCTCTGTTGTGGCTGCTGCCAAGGTGGGCTCCGGGAAGACATGCTCAGGGGTCCTGCGCATCAGCACCTCCCCCTCTTGCTCACGTTTGATCCCTAGGTCTGTGGAGCCGTGTTGGATCGGTGAGCCAGGTATGCTTGAGTCAGCCTCGTTTGAGAAGTCAAAGCCATCTGGGATTCAACATATAACATTTTAGTGCTTTTCTATTCCTTTCTTGCCAGGCCAACCCAGGCAGGGAAAATAAAAGATTTATGCAGACATAGAACAAACACAAAACACTACCCATGCTTAGTTAAAAGTTGTGAGAACATCCACAGAAAGGGACAGGTGGCTATACTGTAGACTAGAGACTAGCAAATGAATATAACGGCAACTACAGTGAAGACAAACAGGACCTAGAGTCCTGAAAACAGAGGACAGCTACTTGTTGTCTCGGACATCCTGATTCAGATGAAGACCAGAGGTCATCAATTCTTTTGCATACAATACACGCGTGCGCGCGCGCACACACAGACACACACACACACGAAGACATGAAGTACCACAGGAAAATATGTAATCCTTGTTTTCAGATTCTTTTACCCTCAGTTTATTTTTAGGTTATTCTGCTTTTTACCTTCAGCCATTTATGCAGCTTTTTTAAATCAGTGTTTTATACAGGCAGCAACAAAGCTTTGTAAGTATGACAAAGTGATTAAAAAGCAAGCTTTTTGCTACACCTACACCTAAGATGTCATCATATCAAGGTAAATATTACTAGTTATTTATTTATTTTCTTCATACAGTCAAGCACACTTCCATACAACGTAAGTACTCATTGAGGAAAAATAAGGACTAATCCTAAAATATCCAAAGTTATTTTATGACACGGCCCCCTCTCTAAATTGGGCCATATGATGGTAGGAGTGCAATGTTCAGCTTTTCCCTCTCCCACTGCCTTCAGTAGCTTTAGGATAATACCATTCATTCCCTGACCTATTTATGACGGGAGGCAGTTGAATTTTAGTGTGGATTAAAGAACTTAAATTCTAAGCCAAACTCTACCTCTACAATTTTATGCTGTGTTACATAGGTAAAAAAAGAAGTCTTACTGAACATTTTCCAGCTTCTCCATTTTCTCACCTACCTCATGAGTTATCATCAAATTAAAACCAAAACAAACACCCCAAATGTTCATGTTCATGCAGTGCTTTGAAGATGTAAAATATTATACATTGTTATGGAGTATCACCTCTCAAAAACAAACAAACAAAAAAACCCCAAATGTTCTGCATTCAAACTCAGAAGCCAGATTACAGTGATGATGATGAATACAGTACAGTACACTACAGTATTTGCTTTTTGGCAGAGAAAGCTCACCTTCTCTCCTCCAGCGATGACGACGGATAGAAGCTGTTGTAATAGCAGTCCGAGAAATCCTCGGCACTGTTGGAGTAACTTCTACTTTCAGTACCTTCTGGCCTTCTTGCGATGCATCAGGAGCATCAAAGGGCAGCGAGTTCTTCATGGCATTTGCAACCTAAGATAAAATAAAATGCTGTACTACCACTGTCCGTGATTGTGCTAATGGCAATATTAGAACTCTTGCTGGATATAGAAATGGAAACAGCCAAGAATTGTTAATTATGTCAGATCCCATCTGGATGGATGGCCCCATCCTCAAGATTCACAGTTGACAAATATGTTGAAAAGCTCATCATAAACATATTCCCAAAAATATAGCTGAATTTTCTCCATTTTTGTGAGGTTACTTCATTCCACGTTTGACACTTATACTAACAGAAGTTACGTCCTGCACAGGAAGGTCGTCATCTAAGAGAGACTACAAAATCACAAGGAAAATACTGTTTATGTCTTATGACAAGAATGTCATAAAACTAAGTCACAAGCCAAGTCAACGCAGACAGCATATGGCTTTGTGCATGGGGGAGGACAGGGTCAGTTTCCAATCCACCCTACCCCATATCCCTCCATGGCCCCCCAAAAAAACCCAACACCTAACCAAGGGGATTAGCCTGCAGGTACTTGAAAGAATTAAAAAAAAAAAAAAAAAAAAAGGCAACATAAAAAAATGAGCATCAAATCATTAAAGTGCATTCATCTTCATTACATCTGATTTTTTATTGTAATACCCTATTATAAAGTCTGAAGTTTTGTCTGGCAGCTTTGAGAACAAGTAACCTCTTTTGGCTTTGATGTTTTAACTGCTTCTTTAAATTTCCCATAAAATGCCTTTGTGGAATTAGAGGTTTACTTTAAAAAAATAATAAAAAAGCAACTTTCAGTTAATGTTTCCTAGTTTACAAGTAAATGGTTCAAAAAGATCTTGAAAAGCAAGCTGGGTCTCTATGGCACGCACAGTATTCAACAATAACAAACTTGCTGCACACAAAATATAATTTTAAAAGGAAAAAAAAAAAAAAATCAAAGTGAACACACCTTGATCTTCCAAAATCTTACTGACTTTGTACAACCAATCAGGAATAAAAATATTAGACACATTTTAAACTTAACATCACAACTTCATTCAGAGATCTCTTATGTTTCACAGACATCTGACTTCCTACATGCTCTTCACTCCCCCTCTAATAAAGACAGTAAATAAAATAAGAGGTTCAGTCATCTAGAATTAATGCGAAACAACTATGGAAAAATGTAACTTGGTAATCTCTATAAAATTCTACCTAGTAACAGTTCCCACCATAACTTGGGCAGGCTATTCTCTCCACTACAGTTTACAAGAAACAGGAAAAGCAACTTTATGTTGCCTCCTCATGCATTATTTTCCCTTGTATCACAAAAAAAATTGATTTTGCAACTTGAGAGAAGAGACTTCACTATATGGCAAGAGAAACACATTTATTTAAGATATGCAGACCACATGTATGTAAATCCACGTAGTCTACTTGTTAGCCCAAGGCAAAGGCATGTCATGCCTATTTTAAAACACAAACTATAAGGCTGACTCTTCTGTCCACTCAAATGAAAAACAGACCTGCTTTAAAACATGCATCTCTGCAAGCCATTCCACTTTTCTAACAGTGCATACATTTTTTTTATTCTTTTAAAATCATGTTATTCTTCTAAGAACAGGCATTTTGTTTATTGTATAAAGACTTGTGGCTAGCTGATGGAGTAGTATCAACTGTTTAGCACATTACTAAAATAATTTCCTAGTTTTATGCTGTAAGCAACATTTTCAAATGTTCCCCCCAACCTAGTGACAGAATTAATGCACTTTTAAACCTCATCAATGTTGTCTTGATATTCTGAGGTTGCCAGAGGCCTTGAAAACATAAGGTACATCCAACAAATTCCTTGAACTCCCAAAGCCCACATATACCAAATCTGCTTAACTAATTAAGTCACCTTTCATTAGCATTTGCAAAAACACAAACTACAAGAAATCACAGAATCACAGAATGGTTTGGATTGGAAGGAACTTTTAAAGGCCATCTAGTCCAACCCCCCTGCAGTGAGCAGGGACATCTTCAACCAGATCAGGTTGATCAGAGCTCTGTCAAACCTGACCTTCAGTGTTTCCAAGGATGGGGCTTCTACCATCCCTCTGGGCAACCTGTGCCAGTGTTTCGCCACTCTCATTGTAAAAAAATGTCTTCCTTATATCTAGTCTAAATCTCCCCTCTTTCAGTTTAAAACCATTACCCCTTGTCCTATCACTACAGGCCCTGCTAAAAAGTCTGTCCCCATCTTTCTTATAGGTCCCCTTCAGTTACTGAAAGGCTGCAATAAGGTCTCCCCAGAGCCTTCTCTTCTCCAGGGTGAACAACCCCAGTTCTCTCAGCCTTTCTTCATAGGAGAGAGGTTCCATCCCTCTGATCATCCTCGTCGCCTCCTCTGGACTTGCTCCAACAGGCCCATGTCTTTCCTGTGCTGAGGACTCCACAGCTGGACACAGTACTGCAGGTGAGGTCTCACCGGAGTGAAGTAGAGGGGCAGAATCAATCTACTAAATCACTGGAACAGACCCTATTGGCAGAACTTTGTATTATCATGTGAAGATCTCAGATCTTTGATAAAAAGCCTATATCAATGCATATGGCATGCCATAAAAGCTCCGTGAATTAAAGGTGTTTATTCACATCATAATAAAGTAAAAGTTACTTTCTTACAAGTTGTATCAGGCAAACTATCCAGCAACCATGAGAAGAAATAAGTGTTTCAAATAGTAAAGCCACATATCACAGCTAAATTAAAGCCTTTTTACTTCCTGGGGAACTTGAATGGCTGCCATATAGCTGATCCTGATGTCCAGCTGCTGTTGTGATCCTGTAACTCTGCATTAAACACCTTCTCCACTGCCTTCCTGTCTGACTTCTAACCAACACAAAATATTATTGGCACCATCACAGAAATGCTCCTTATCATTCTGCCTTCCACTTGTCCAGCATTGATTTCCCTTTGCTAGCCAATTCTCTCAGCCTCAACACTTGTTTGTGAACTGCTTTCCTATTGGCACATAGGCCTTTTTCCATGCCATCCTCTCCAAATGGTACAAACTGCATTCACCCTATCCTTGATCCCACTGAAGACTTCAGAAACTCATTTCTGCTGTACTCAACCAAAGCAGATCAAGTCCAACAGTATACAATGGTTTGCCTTCCCATTTTCTACTGGCTAGAGTTGCTCCCTCTTTTGAATAGGTACCTTTCTCAGTATACAGGATTAAAAATCTAAAAATTAGTAGCAAAATTTTCTGCAACAGGACTAGAAGTGATAGAGAAGTTCTGCTTGTTGAATCTTTTAACAGCTGGCCCTTTCTAACGATACAAATCGTACTTCTGGGGACTGAGGAGAACCATATGGAGATAAAAATCAATGCAACAGTAAAATTTTGAAATAATCAGTTTGAATGAGTCACAGCCTTTCTCTGACATAAAAAAACTCCAAAACTGTGATCCTTTGGGATGCAAAAAAACTTGCTCACTGTGTCTAACCCAGCACTGAAAGGCAGGAAAACAAACAAACAGCACAATTCAGACTTGGCAGGCCAAGTCTGCAGCTATCAATGACAAAGGAGCACTGGTTTCAGGCCAGACATCCACTCTTGCCTACCAGAAAGGAGCTCTAATGAAAAGTACATCCAACAGAAGCAGTAAGTATATCAATAAAATACACTGGATAAAGGTGCTGTCACAATAGGGACTTGCTGATCCATGCGTCTTAAGAACCAGGCTAAGAAAGTCTGTGTGTCTCTGCACTGAAGACAGGGATTTCCACCTGAAACAAGTACAAAACTCTTGCGTACCAAGGAAAAGCGACTGACTGGAACTAAGCTACTCCCCAGGTCCAGGCTAGCTTGGTAGAAATATTCAGTCTTGGTGATTAGTTTCCCTCTGTAGAAACTCCCGGTTTTCATGACTATGAAACCAATACTCAGTGTTTGTTAACAGAGACACTTTTCCCAGAAAAAAGCATTTCTTGCCCTTTCCAGTGCAGTCTCTGGGTAACAGCGGAAGATGACTTCTTCTACATGACACACATTTCATAGCAAGGATCTACTATATTGTTAAAAATATTTCTCCAAGAGACGTACCCAAACACGGGGACTGTGATGTATCTCATTGTAATGATGACTGATGGTATTTCCACAATTATACAAATAGCTTGAATAGAGATATCTAAAAATAATCCTAACGTGGGGGTTTGCCTTAGTATTAAATGAACTTCAAAGAATTTGCTGCTGTTAGGAAATCTTAGGCAGAGGCTGAACTTGAAATTTATCTGGGATGCTGCACAGATGATATTTTATTTGGTGCAAGTAGTTTTAACTTTAAAATACAAAATTTTATAATGCTGCTAAATTATACACATCCTCTGGAGAATGCAGTGAGGTGAAAGGATTTCAACCTTTGAAAAAGTCAAATCACTTGAACATATAGCACGAGGCCAAGGACATGCAGGTCATTTTTTCATAAAACTCACAATTTCTTAAAGTTGTTTTTTAAAAATTGCAGTAAATCAAGACAGGAGGCAAGGCAATGATCAGAGTATTAAGAGGAAAACCCCAAAGATGTGTCTGCATGCATCTGCACGAAAAACTGACAACTGGGGAAGGGGGAAAAATTGATGATGTCATGACATCACTGACACCAGATAATAGGATGGAGAGGCAATAGTACTTTGGAAAAAACCAAATACATTTTAGAAGATTCTTACAATTAGAAGTAATCTCTAAGGACAAACATTAAAAATGAACAATGAAGACTGAAAATTGTCATATCATCAATTGAATTAAGTTCCAGATCCTCCTAAACACCTTTTAAATGTAGTTTGACAGGATGGCCCAATTCAGCAGGTTCAATATTTAATTTAAAACTTTCAATCTGATGGAGTGACGAGTCATTTCCAAAAGGAACCAACTATTATAATTCAATGGATACCAAGCATTTAGAATGCAGCAGTGTCAGAAAGCCAGTAGATAAATTTTATAGCCAATATTAATTCATCAAGAGAATAATTTTATATAATGTATTGCAGGAGAGGGATTTCAGATTGCCACAGAAGATTTTTCCCAATCCATTCCTTTCTCAGTTATGTAGAAAGCATTGAAATTCTACTGCTGTTAGTTCAGAGGAACACTAAAAGCTTCTAGTCACAATTCTGATGCAGGAACTGAGACAATAGTCTATTTTACTTTATTCTCCTTAATTTTCCTTCTTATTTTGGTCCTCATTCCTACATCTGACAAAAAATAAAACCCCTCAATTTCTCCTTTCTCTCTGTCAACCTCCTCATCCTTCCCAATCACATCAACCTGCATTCATCCCAGTTCCACCACCTTCCCCATTTCATTTATCTCTTTTTATGATCAGAACAGCAAGTATAATGTAAACTGAAAAAAAAAAAAAAAATCCAAACAATCAGAATACCCAGGACAATATAAACATGTACTGTGATCAAGCAGGCCTCTCCATATTTATATTTTAACCATCATCCTCCATACCAAGAGGTTTCAACCTCTTGACTTGCTTGATTGCAAGTGCTAGCCCAGCAAAATCTCCTCAGCCATTAACACGGCATTATTCTAGCTACTAAAAAGAAACCCAGCTCTGCCCCAGCTAAAAACCAGGACACTCCATTCTACTGCTGCTCCTCCAAACAGTAAAGATTAAGATCCATGTGAATCTGATAAATCAAAATCAGACATTGATTCTGGAGCTGAAGTTCCTTTTCACTTTCATCTCTCTCCTGTTGTTACTTTTTCTACTATGTTATCAGTTAAACCTCACAGCATATTCTCAGCCCCTCTGAAGGTCTAGAAGCAAAGAAAACACCTTTTTTGCAACCAATGTCCTATGACATATAATCATTCGTTTAAGCTTATTTGAATCACTCATTGGTAGCTTATGCCAAAACATTTTGATCCAACTGTAATAGATTAGAAAATCCTGTCTTTCAGCATCAGTGAGTCCTAGGAGATCCAAACACCCTAGCTTAACACACAAGTAGAAAAAGTATAGTATAAATAGCAACGTTGAAAACATTAGTTGTTAACCACCACTTCTGTTTGGGACTGCAGTAAATGGCCACAAATGCTTTTGTTACCAGTCCACTTCAGAAACACATCCATCCTCCTCTTAACCAAGCCCATAAATTGCAATGGATTGTTTCTTACCAGCAGAGGCTGTGAGTAGAGTTCAAGCTGTGCTCTGTAAATTATGTCCTCCAATACCTCCTGGCCAAGATCCCACTGACCATTGTATCTAAAAAGTAAATAAATATCTTTATCTTTCATATCTTATGAACTCAACCTTGTCTTTTTTCTGACAAAATCCAGCTCTTCCCTTCTTTGCTTATACAGAAAGTTCATCAACGGTATGTACACCCTAGCCCTTTCACTTCTTTTAAAAGTACAGATAAAGTATTTTTTTAATTAATATTGTTGGTATAACAAAAAAGCTGCTCCTTGTCACCTTCAAGTATGACAAAGTTGATGCCATAATCAGGACAAACTTAAATAATTTTAAAAAGGGGGTCAAGATGTAAAGCTTAACACTGCTTAGCAGAACTGTATTTCCATCAGAAATGGATTCTTGCTACCTCAGAAGCTACTGACATTCAGGAGCTTTGCATTTTATCAGGTTTTCTTGGCATCCAAGCTCATTACACTTGTGAACAGAAGGTATCTGGTGGTAGTGGAAAACTGGGAAAAAAGGAAGCCAGAGCCTAACTCCCTTCAGCACCTATTGCTGGTTGTTCATCACCTAATTCAATGCTGACAGATATTTTCAAATTACCAGTTGGCTGAGTGAGGAAGTTAATGGGAAATACACTAACCAAGTCATAAACTTGTGTTATGAGTTTAACTATTTTTTCAGTCATAAAACAACTAGCATTTATATTTTAATTCACGTAAACCCCAACATTTCTCTTTATATAAAAGACCCCATCCACTTACATGGCATAATAGACACCTGTGAGCAGCTGCACCATGAAGTCAGGGTCCAACACCACTCTACTACAGTGTTCTTTCCAGCGTTTCTCATGCTGCCGTGGAAATCCACTCACACACAGCCTGAAAAAACACACCATTGTAACAAAATGTTAACCCCACAAAGTCTTTACTACAGAGATTTGAGTTAATTTTCAAAATTTATTTTTCAAAATATAAGTACACAATGCAGAACATTCTTATGCTGCTCTCCCAACCATTAAAGCAGTTTTATAACAATGCCTTGAGGTGTGGCTTGCTGGTACTCCAGTGTTAGTCCCATACAGACATTAGCTCCATCTGTTTTCTTCAAGTCATAACCATCTTCTAAAGAATGAGGGTGACAAGATGTTATCTACTGCCAGGCACCAAATAGGAGGCTCTTCTCAAAATTCAGTAACTGAAACCAACTTTCTTTAAAGGAAACATTCCAGGGGTATAGAAGAGAAATGTCATCTCCTATCTAATGTATGATGACAGCATGTAATCACCTTTTACCTAAAGTGGGAAACAGATACCGTATTATTGAGAATTGCTCTCAGTTGCCTTCTAAAAAAATAATTCTGACCCTTGAAAAAGGGCTTGTATTCCCATATACTTCACAGCACTGAGTGTCCATAAAAACCAGAATAATTTATTCATAACTTTAATATCTGAATCTTCATCATGGAAGCAACACATGGACAGTAACACATAACTGCTGCGCTGCTTCAAAAACATCAAAAAAATCCCTAGCCTATAAAATGTTGTCTCTCTTCTCTACCCAAAGAACAGATCTAACTTTCAGATGCAAGAAAATTCAACATATTTGGCAAATTTAGCAAGTCAAGTGAAGATGATGGAAGCACACCAAGAATTAATCCATTCCCATCAAAAATCACAGCAAAGCAAACACGCTATAAATCTTAACTGCATGTGTGTGTTACTCCAAAATATATGTTGTTAGAAGCTAATCTGATCCTTCTTTGCTACATAACTGAATTGCACATAATGCTTTTCTTTCATGGCAGTACTGTGCTGAAGCAAACAAGCTAAATCAAAAACCATTTAAAGAGGTTGCTCTGTTTGGGGGTAGCAGGAGAATTTATCTCATTTTAGACAAAAATGCTGGTAAAAAAAAAACACAAAACATATGGCAATACCAAATATACTTGAGATTTTTCAGAACAAAAAGCAGGCATCTTTGCCAACCAGATGCTTCTAAGACTATTCACGTAGGAGGTTATATAAAGGGCATGTCTAAGAGTTTGAGAAAACACAGTACTGGATTTTCCAGAAAGTAGGATGTTATTATCAGGTAAAAAAGGAAAAGGAAAAAAGAAAAAAGAAACAAATGAAAACCCAAACAAACCACTAAACTCCAGAACATTGTGCAACCACTTCATATAAACTATCCTCAGAAGAAAGACATTAATATTTTGTAAGCAGAAGAAACTGGTGATATTCATCATAAGATTTTTAAGTTGACCACACCGACAAATGTCTGACAGCTATGTAAATCCAAAAAAATGCAAATCAGTCTGAGTATCTTCAACTAATTTTCCCCCAAAATTGCCTTTCTTTTTCCTGTCCAAATAACAGAAAGTTACATAACTAGAATGAAAGCCCATGCAGTATGCAATGCAACCACGGCTGCAAATTTCCAATTAAGTTGCAAGACTGACTAAGAGTTAAATATTCTAAGTTATTAAACACAACAAATAAATTCATTAATTTTTTCTTTTTGCTGGAGGAGTATTTAGAAGTCTAGATGCACCCTGCAAGACTATTTAAAAGGCAAGTGTCTCACCTGGAACCCATCCTACAAAGTGACTGGTAAGAAGAGGCAGGCATATAGACAATAGCAGAATTGTAGCACAGCATAAGAAAGCTCAGCACCTCAAACCTGAAAAGAGACAAAAGCCAAACTTTGAATGTTTTAAATTCTTAATATTTCATCAGAACTTAACAGCAAAATTCTCTAACTCAGTCTCAAAAAATACCCCACAGGAAAAAGCAGCAGCAGTAAACATACAAATCCTGAAAACATCTTCCATTATAATTCACTAACTTGAAACAGGCTATTAAAGGTTCAGTATTAAACACTTAAAATTAATATTACTGAAAGCCATTAGCATATGCAGGAACTACAGAGGAAAAGGCATACAGCATAATATTTGGACAAAATTACAGAACTGGACAAGTCTGCAATGCATTCAAAATTATTCTATCAGTTTTCCCAGAGCTGGCTTTAGACACAGGTAAAGCTGACAGTCACTAGAACAGGGCAATTTCTCTCATCCCTAGTTCTGTCTATCCACTCAGCTCCATTCCCCTTTTTCTGTGGAAAAATCAATCACAGCCTCAGAGCCAAAGCTGAAATTTATAAAACTTCCAGGAAAATTTGAGTTGACAGCCATAAACCCAAAGATGTTTCTGACAGATACAGAAATGACAGAGAAGTTACAAAGTTGGAACAAACAACAAAAATACTATACCTCAAGATGACCAAGACTGTTCTCTAGAATTTATTTCCAAGCACTTAATGCTGAGAAAGGACTGAACACATAATACATTTTGTCTTAATGTTAAGGACTTCTCGTCTGGCTAGTGAAATATCTCTTATGCTAGAATACATCCACCTACCGATTCTGTGCTGTAAAGGTTTCTCTTTGAGGATGAAGATCACTGTAAACTACCCTGATGAGATCATGCTGACACAGGGCTCCTTCAGTTAAAGCCATGGATCCAATAGTAGAAGGCTAGAAGTAGGTAGTGGGAGGAGGAAGGAAAGAGGGGGGAGAAACCAAGCAATAAGTAAAAAGTTCTCAAAAGCATTAAAACTCCTAACCACTCAAGCCAAGACATACTTGTCTTGCGATCTGTAAAAATGAACACAGTAAATCTAAAAACTTGACTATTATTATAAACAGCTTCCACACTTACAAGCAATATTGTAAGGTGAGAGCAATATTCAATTTTTTCTTACATATCCATTTACAGTAAGTTTGTCCTAATAGCACAGACCTTTTGTACAGCAACAGTAGAGAAAGGAGAACTTGATTCCAAGTTTCAAACTATATTAAGGAGGAATTAGAAGGAAGACAACTTTTATACTAACACATAAGAGGCAAAAAAACACAGTTTCAACTACAACACAACTAAACTACATTCAAAACAGGACAGTCAGCAAAGATTTTTCAACACTTACATTCCTTTCCTTCTACTAATGCTACTGAATTCGATTACACTAATTGTAAGCTACCGACATGGAAAACTTACTGCAATAAGATGCATCTAAAATGGCCTGTTGCATCAAATGGTTCCAGTTTTCATTTCTCTAATAGATCCAATTTTAATTTACCACAGCAGCTCTCTTACCTCATGATATATTGAGGGTTTAGATAATGAAGGAATGGTGAAAGATAAAACTTTGTTGTTTCCATCTTTGTCAGCAATTTCCTGCATTAAAAAACAAAACCAAAACCCAAACAGAAGTAAGGAGATAGGACTTGGAATAATTTTCAATTCTTAGAAGGCATTTAACAAATAAAAAGTTAGATGCCCTGATCTGGTAAGACTACTAACAGCCCCAGGTCTCTGTGCGTTTGCAGAATATCATCAAATTTACATACCTATTTAACAAGTGTAGAACACCTCTATCACATACTGTTTTGCAGAATCAGTCTGCAACACTTAAAAAAAAAAAAAATCAACATTGGCTCCTTGATCAGTGTGACTTTATCAAAAACAAACAAACAAAAAAGAACAAAAAACTTTTCTAGCCCGCTTTTACATTATAACATTTATTTATAATAGAATTGCACAGTGGAGCAAGACTAAACTTGAAGCCCAGAAGATATAGACGCACGAGGGCTGATGAGTCACTTGCTGACAACAGGCAGTACTTCGTAATAAATGCACCACAGAGAAAAGGTGAAATCAAGGAGACTGGCAAAGTTTCTCCAGGCATTCTATCAGTAAAAAATACACAGAATGTTTTCTCAAAAGGCTTTCAAACTGGTCAGATTTTACAGTTGCTAGGCTACTACATAAGCAGACCCATCAGTTTTTAAAGCAAATATACTAAGAGCAATTACGTAAGACTATACCAAAAAGGAGTCTAAAATCCTGACTTTCACTCTGTACAGCAAATTCCCAAACCATGAACTCTAGTCATTCCAGTTTATGTGAAAACTTAGTCCAAGGTAGCACAGTACTTGTAGTAGGCTTTAAGGATCACAATGGGAGGACAGCTGATAGAATTTAGCAAAATGTAAAAGATGTATCTTTGTTTTTCACTTTCTAAGTATTGAGAAAATAACTTCACTCCTTCAGTCTCAGTATATATGCAGAAAAATATCAACAGCTTACTCGAAGGAAAAAAAAATAGTGGGAGCCACTGTCCATTTTGAGGCCTCTTTCTTCCTGAACCTGGAGAGAATTAAGGAATTACTGTCCCTAACAGATAAGAATCACCCACATGACTTTCAAAGGAACTGCAAAAGGACCTTTATGAGAAAACAGTTGACAAAGATAAATACGCTACTTCAGCAAAGCAAACAGTAACAAAAATCAGCAAGCAGCTTCCAATGTTTTTTCTATCAGAATAAATCTAAAACAACTACTTCTTACAGTTGTCAGAGCTGATCTACAGACACATAACAATACTATTTTTTCTTTTAAGAATCACAGTTTGACTGTTCTGTGTCTCATCACGTCTAGAAACCTAACATACAATTTAAAGGAGGGGTTTACTATGATAGTACAGAGAAGGGCAATGTTTCAATATAGTATAAGTCCTATAAAACAGAAATTTCCCATTAGAGAATGCCTGTCTTGGCAGTATTGCTAATTTTATCAAACAGGCTCATGACATTACAAGAGTAAACACTTGCAGGTTAAGGAAAGGATATAAAAAACTACTTTTACATCCAAGAGCCAAACTTAAAACTTCTACAGTTACTTTTACTTATTCTTAAAATCACAGTTCCACTCAAGACAACTGCCTCAAACATACACACACACACATGTATCTAAGTGCTAGCATGCAGAGTGCTTTCAGCTTCAAATGACCCTTTAAAAAAACATATTCAAAGTGTGGGATGGAGAGAAGGGACACATGAGGGTTGACCAAGTATATTGGCATTGCAATCATCTCCATAGAAAGTTGTATTTTTCAACACTAAGGAGGGCTATTTAATTTCCTTACAAACACAAGTATATAACAGTTCAAGAAAGCCCATGAGATGGTCCTTTTTAGTTAAAATGTTTGTCTCAAGAAGATTACTATAAAAAATATTTCTGCAAACATGTTCTTACTAAACCTTCATTACTTTATGTTTTTCTCCAGATTAAATATGCTTTCATGGAAGTGTATTATAATTTTTAAAATGTTGTTCCAACAATTTACTTTATTCCTAGTGGTCAGTGATGCAAAACCTCAAATCAAAGCTTTCCTCAGCCATTCCCACTCATCTCACTTACCAAGTTGTAAATGCCAAGTAGTAATGCTTCAATGCAACCATTACTCTGCCTATCCCTGCTGGCAGTAAGACGCAGATACACCCAGATCAACTCTGGCAAAAATTGCAGTGTGAATCTCTTGAGCCGAACTTCAGAACTACGATAAAGTTCAAAGAGCTGGTGGCAAACAGGCTCCAGGAGCTATGGAAAGGCAAAAAGGCTAATTAATTACCGTTAGGCTTCTCTAGTAAGGGAGAATGAAATAGCAAATACAAGGGCTATATCATATAGCCACTGCAGCCAGTAAAAATTACACTCCTTGATGGCAACTAAGCAAATGAACCAAAATGTGATCTGCATTCCTTTTAAGGACATCTATAAGGATGGACCTGAGGAGCATTAGCATGCAATATTGGGAAATGTGGTCTTACTACAGCCACTACCATCTTGTGCTTTGAGAACATTATTCTCTAGGGCTGCCAGTATGAGATTTATTTTGTATATAGGTACTAACTTAAGGCATGTGACATACACGTAGCTTGAATTATGTGCACCATAAAACTTAATGGTACAGTTGTAAGGTTTATAAAAGTAAAAAGGTTAAAGATTAGCTGCTAATGACAAGTCTATTGACAAAAATATGAATTAATTTCTTACCTACGGCTTTTTAGTCTCAAACCCAACAAGTGTGCATTTGTTCATTACAATGCAAACTGATTTTTCCATCTTGAGTTGCACTTAGGGTTTCAGTACAAGAATCAAAAAAGGCCCTTATCAAGTCACTGTGATGTAAGCACAAGAAAAACCCTGCCATTTTAAGGGTCTAGAATGCCAAACCAAGAGTTAAGATGCATCCACAAAGCTGTTACTGAACAGGAGAAAAATAAAAAGAACCACGTCAAACTGTCTCCACCTTTTCCATGAGTAATCAAGTCTTTACCAAAGTAAAAAACTTAAAAAAAAAAAAAAATATTTAAAGAAACAGATAAATTTTTATAATGTCTGTGACCAGTAGCTACCATTTCATTCTAAGAAATGGGATGATCTAACCTAAGGAAAATACTCATGGGATTCAATGTCCAAAACGACGGAGGCATCCATGTAATCTAAAGCATCTATATTCATACAAAAGAGTAAGAGAGTCAGAAAATAGAGGCCAGTATCTCAAATAAGTCTTCTTTCTAATCGTACATGCTTCATGCAGCTCTCATATACATACACAATAATATTAAATATTCAATTATATCTATCATCTTCTAGAGCAATAAAAACCCTACATTTGACCAACACAATAGCAGCTGTACTGATGAGACAAAAAGGCAGAAATAGGAAACATGCAGTGCAGGGCAGAAGATCAGATAAGACACGTATGACTCCTCTTTCAGTACACACTCTCACTGCCAAGGATACGCAGCTCAGGACTTTCAGAGCATTAGCAGTATGTTTCATAGACTTGGATGCATTCTTTAATTTGTCTATTCATCAAAATCTTAGAACCCAGAATTTCCGGTAGAATTCAATGTCACTCTTTTGCTATGCTGTATGAAGATGTACTTCTGGGGTAAAAAATTACTCTTAAAAAACTTTGAAGACAGCCTTTGCTATGAGCAGAAGGACAGCCATTTCTACAAGTGATTAGTTTGAATGTTTGATAAATGTGCAATGCCATAAATCTGTATGACTGTTCAACTTCACATAAACATATTTAGACTTAGATATTTTACTCTAGTAAAACCATGAAACATAAACATGATAGCATTTTCTGTTATGATGGCTGCCTTAAGAGAGCATCACCCAAGAAAGGGTGGACACATTAGTTTCATTTCTAACACACACTATTCTGGTCAACGAAGCATACAATTTTTAAACAACTGATTACATAAGCCATAACATGACATCTATGTAAAATAAAACTTTGCTATCGGACAAATCTCTTCTTATACAAGGCTCTGGTATAAGTGCCTTGTGTAACAAAGGTTCTGACTGGCAGCCTAGCTACTCTAAGCTAAAAGCTTGTTTTCACAACAGAAGCAAAGAGAGACTCCACAAGAGAGGGAGGGAAGAAAGCTGACACTGACAGCATTGACAGGGAATGAGATAAAGTCCAGTCTTTTGGAGCACACAGATTTTTACAAGCCATATATGTAAATACCTCACCACTTAATTTTTGTTTTGGGATCTAAATGCAATTAGAAGCCCATAAAGCTCCTATTGCAATCAGTTTAATAAAACAATGCTAGGGCTTTCTCTATCAATTTGAGCATATATTATTTTATGTAGTATATTTGTTCCAGTATTCCATAGATACAGAGTACTTTATGTTCAAAAGATGCCCACATATATTCTTTCTTAATTAATATTTACTTAGCAGAAACTCCTATATGAAAGTGACACTAATTACTAAAACCATCTGTTATAGTAAATGTTCAAATCCTCAGAGAAAGAACTGTATCCTTGCTTTATGAAAGGCGTAGCACATTTCAGATGTTCAAATAAAAATATTGATTAATAAATAATTCAGAGATCATTGAAGAAATGCGTAGGTTTTCTTTAAAAGCAGATATGAGCAAGAAGCTAGCATCAAGAAGAAAAAGGAAGAAATCTCCTGAAACAATAAATACAAGCATATCTGAAAAGAGGTAACAGGAGTAAGAAAAGCTAAACAAATGCTATCAGAAACCAGATATATACAGTAACACTGCTATAAATAGTACTTCTATTAGATTAAAGATGACAGCAGTCCAAAGCTGTTTCCTATTTGAAATTAGCCAGTCTAATACAAATCCCATTACAAACTGTGGAAAAGAATAATTTACTTTAGCTAAAGTCAGATGAGACTCAACCAAAGCAGTTACTGACTTTATTTTACTTCCTTTAATTTTATAAAATTAGTTTTTTAAGTGAAACCATACTCTGCAGAAATATACAAGCCATATCCAGTCACTGGTGCATGCAAGCATCTAAATATTCCTCATTTCTAGCAGTTGTCCTATTAGTTGTGGAAAAGGTGTAACAACTGCAAATTACTTAGGTGAAAACCTGAAAGTTGTTTGTAGCAACTACTATAGCACTTCTGATGTATTCAGAGCTTTAAGTCCACAAGAAAAAGCTGCTATCACAAAGATGCTACAACACAAGTATTTTCAAAGGCATGATCACACAAGTCTTTCCTATCAAAGTATATAGTACGATTGTTTCTCACCTGGAAACACAGAACTTGACACTGTAAGAAAGAACAAATGTTTTCCTTGCATCCTGTTATCTGTCTTTTCAGAGAACCAGACTCTTACAATTAATACTCTGAATATAAATATTGAGAATACACTGGATAAACAGAGGAAATGGAGCTTTTGTCATCACTAGTGAGTGTGTACATGAACTGGCACACACTTTTTTAATTCCAAAGATCTTTCTGTCTAAAGCTGAAGAAAACTGAGTAGCACAGCACTCAACCAAAAAATCCAAAGTAAAATGTCTCTTATAACTGCATCTCTTTTCTGACAAACTAAAGACTTATATTAAAGGAGCTTTCCTATTAGTATAAAAAGCAATTAGCATAACATATAATTACAAATGAAAATTTTATTGGCTTAAATGTGACATTGATATAATTTACAGACTTCATTTTACACCTCACCCAGAAGCAGACTAGTCATGTTTTAAGGAAGCTGATGAATAGCTTTAGTTTGGCTTATTTTAGAAGTTTGCCAAATCTCAAGAGCCATATTTTGAAGTTCAATGTAATGTATTATAAAATGCATGACAAAGATTGGAAGTGCTTGCTTTTCTGAAGAATTCAATTGTGGTAAAAAATAATGTGCTCATTTTAGTCTTAACTATAACATAATGGGTTAGTTATTATTTGAAGAGTACTGAGTGTGGGAAATGCTTGACATTGCAAAGATGATCTCATTTTGTTTTAAGGCTGAGTTTTCCAAGTTAAACCTAAATAGCCCCACATTCAATGTTTAAATTTCAGTACTGCATTAACTTTAATACCTACAGCATTTATGTCTACAACCATAAACAAATTCCAAAAATTATAAAACTATCTGAAAAACAGTACTTCAAAAGCACTTTACTTCAGAATTCAAATATTATGCAAAAAAACAATACATTATTCAGTTAAAGAAGCTGTTTATGAGCAATATCACACTCTACTCTCTAAGTGACTTTCTGTTCCAGACATTATCTTCTCCATATCAAATAGGAGTCAGAGAATTTCCTAAAAAGTAAAGAGTAACCATTTTATTTAACTTGACAGTATGCCTGCCTTCATTTGATAGCTCTCAAATTGGTAGACAGCAGTCAAAAAAGAGAAACACCTTGGTTGTTTGTTTTGGTTGCTAAACATGCTGGTTCCATGTTAAATTAACAATCCTGTCTTATCAAGACAGAATTATATGATTCTAGAAAAATTCATCATGTTTGCCTTAAGTAGTTTGCCCCTTTCAGGAAGTTTTAAAAATAGACCAACTTTATGATTAAGTTGTAGTAAAAAATTTCCTTGTCTATCAAGTTTAAGTATCCAGCAAGTACATTTTTATAATAGTCTACCACATAAGCCTTATCTTCATAAGCAATCGGTTATCTTTCTAACCAATAATACCTTATGAAGCATATTTTTAAAACCCCACACTTAGAGCCAAATATTACCACAGAATTATGCAAAATAATGAATTTACTACGGCTATACTCCTCACAAGCAAATAAGTTTGGAAGAAGTGCAACAAGGAAATACATACTGCCTTAACAAGCAGAACCTGTCATCTTTGAATCTAGGATTGCTTATCTCAGAATCAGGCCTAAACAGCAACAGCAGTTTGAAGGAGTAATATTTGACAAGCATCAGTGTGTAATAACATAAAATTATTGTCACACCCTTAAGAAGACATTCTTTTTGCAAATCTGGTTCTTTGCATTATTTAAAAAAAATAATCAAATGCTTATTCTCAAAGCAAAGGAAAGCTTTTATGTTTTCAGAATTATACATACACACAAATACACACCTAAAAGACAACAACAGCAATGGTGGCTTCAGGTTGGAGAGAGAGTAACAGTAGCTTCAGTACAAAGAAAAAGGTTACTATGCACATTATTTGTAACACTGAAATGAAGTTGACAGCTATGAAGCTTTTTTTTTTTTTAATTGCATGAGCATTATGCAATCTCCTTTAAGCTCAGTCAGGCACTCAGCTTCCAAAAGAAGCTGAGCTGTGCTTAGGAAAATAAAGAACTTCCTTGCTGTGTACACTTGCCATTTAATTTATAAATACACAAGAGATCAAAGATGATAAATATTTTGAAGCACTTTATCTAAAATAGTTTACACAGCAGAGAATGGTATGCTTGCACAATTTATTCAGAAGTAGTATTTCACACACTTTCCCAGAAATGCTCATAGCAGAAGCCAATGAAATAGAAAGCTCAGTTTAATGCCATTTTCAAAATAAATTATGTACAAAGGTAAGCTAAATTTTCTTTGTACATTTATTTTTCAGGGCCCTGGTTCTGCTCTTGTTTACAGGAGTGTAACCCAAATTACACAAACATGATACTACTATAAGTGAAAGAAGATCTGGTTATTTTAATAGGATTTAATAAATTTATTCCATCTTCCACTGTAATAAGCCACCAAGTGAGAAGCACATTGGTCTTACTGAGTTTCACAGCAAGGTCTACTTTGCCTCTGTTATGATTGAAAGGTGGCTTGTGGCAGGGAAAAAAGATATTAAAAAACCCCCCATGCCAAATCAAGTGTTACAGTTGGTTGTGGCAAGTAAAATCTAGCAGAGAGCATAAACTGCATTTTTGGGAGCAGATTAAGTTGTGTCTTACCAGAAAGGCATTAAAGTAATGGTCAAAAAACAAGAAAGTAAAAAGAAGGATAAGACTCATGTTAGATTACATTAGAAAGAAGAATCAAAGAATCTTCTCTCCATCTCCACTTCTCAATTACTCTAGTTTCAGTTGTAGAGGTGGAAGATACAAGAATGTGAACAAAAATCTTTTAAAAAAGTCTCCTACCTCATTATTTGGGTCTTGAATGACCTTATAAAGAGCTGGTACCAGTGGTTTTTTTCGGTGCAATGTAGCTGCATAGCTGGAAATTTGTGTTTCAGGTAATGCCTAAAGAGGAAAAAAAAAAAAATGTTACTATGATAAATCAATGCTTCCAAGTTTTAAAGATCTCCACAAAAGGATTCAGTCTCATCCCAACATCAAGAAAAATTACTGAAGTTCAGTAAGTTTTCAGACTTGTAACTTAGTTCATTCAGTACGAGTTCTTCTCCATATGAATAACATCTGGGGGCACACACCAACTTTCAGGATTACATCCAAAAGCAGTTTCAGATTTATCTTTCATAAAATCACTTGCTCCAGCTTGATATGAGGACTCTCTTTCTCAATATTCTGTATCTAACAGGCACTTTTCAAAGTCTTTATCAAATCAGTTCAAATTATTTAAGAGATGTGGATCATCTAGAATGAGTATGGACAGCCTCAAGTCTCACCAAGCAACCACATCTGTGGATTTTGCATCTTTGGCTCCTCCACAAATTTCCAACAGCACACAATGGATTATTGTGTACCATCAATGATGTCAGGAATTACTAATTCTTAATTTAAACAACAGATTAATTTCATATCAGTCATGAAATCCAGTTTTCTTTTTTATGCATTATCCTGTATTTCACTCAGCATAATTATCAACATGCAAAATAGTTTAAAAATACTTCAGATTCTTCATGACAAAATAATTAATTTTATACAGACCACAGGAAAAAAAAAGACAAATATTTTTCTTTAATATGTTTTTAAACTCCAAACATTTCTACTAATTTTTTTTTTTTAATAAAAATGTTGATGAATTAGAAATTTGGGCAGCATTATCCAGCTGTCAGTTGAATTCTGTCAGCTTGATCTATACAGAAATATATGCTTTAAAAAAACCACATTGCTATCGCAGTGTTCTGCTCTGTAATAAACAATAAACTACTATTAGAACTATGCATTGTATATTATGTACCAGTTGACTCATTTACATAGACCTTTGCATGCTTTATGCATTACAAGAAGTTGAAAGATGAAGTAATAGATATTTAAAATGTTTATTATTGGATATTTAAATAAATAAATAAATAAATCAATGTTCTGTGGCACAAAGCAAATGGTATAGCTATCATTCATCTTTTCAGCTCACCTTGAATTCTGACAGCCATTCTTCCACAACACCTCGTTCTGATCCCAGCATTTTCTTACTTCTTTTTGCTTTCCTCTTACCTTTACAAGAGAAAGGAAAAAATAAATCAAATAAGAGTTCTGCAGTAAAACTTAAGTTTTGTAAAATCCTACCCCAATGAAAAGCTGTTAACATATTTCCAATAGAGTTACAGAATATCAAACAATAGGAAAAGTTGCATTTTGGACAACAGGTTCCATTTTCTAACAATGATTAAACTGTTCTCTTGAGACTTTTAGTTGAAAGTACTGCACATTAGTGGAGGAGGAGGAAAAAGAACAATTCAGTGTTTCAGGCCAAAATGTATATTAAGACAAACACATCATCCCATTCTTGCTCCCTTACCAAATATAGTACAAAGAAAAGACAAGTGGAACAAAGTAAAGAGCATCATGGAATAAATCATGTGAGACGTTGTAGTGACAGTCCTCCCAGATACAGAGTAAAGCGGTTTCCTAAAATCAGTTATTAGAAATCCTAATAGCAGAACTTTACTCCTTAAATCTTGTTCTTAAAGAATTTTGAGGCTTCTTGTTCAAACAGCAAGATATAGCTCTTCTAAAAGTATGCTAGAATTCTCAGAAACAAACAAAAAAAAACTTGCAAGGACAACTGTTGTGGTTACTTTCCATTTTATATATAACAGTCATTCTAACACCTTTTGAATTTTCATAAATTTAATTCTCAAGGCAATAGCAAGAATGTTTAAAACACAAGGCATCGTTAGACACCTTTGCTTGATGTTTAAATAGGTCTAAGCAACACAGATAATTTTGTCTTTCTGTATGACCTGGAAGTCATTTAGGTCCAAGAAAATTTTAATCTGACGAAGTGAAATGAAGCTGTAGTCTAATACTAGAGACTAAAATCTAAGAATAGTGACCTGAAAAGGCATAAATTGAGGAGCCAGTAAAATATAAGAGCTACTTGAAGCTCTGCTAGATATATTAAGACAGCGATTCTTAGTTAAGGTTTCATCAAAAGTTTATTTTTGACAGGACCTACAGGTTAACAGCTGCCTGAAACAAAGAAACAGAAAATCTGTGAAGGGACACCGGTTTTTTAAGAGATACTTTTGTCACTCTTTTATTTTTTTTAAAGACATATTTATGGCTATATAACAACTACATACAACAAAGCTGTCGCACACCGTCATAAATCTTTAATACATCTTTTGTAAAAACTACAAACATCCATCAGTTTCAAAG